GCATATTTGGAAAATGATAAGACTCTGAGTGAACCCAACCCTACAGGCAAAGCAATGAACCCCAATGAAATATGGGAAGCTGAATCTGTAAAGACTGAACCCAACCCTACTAACCCCAATGAAATATGGGAAATTGAATCTGGAAGATTATGTTAATAAAACTTGAAGAAATACTACTAAAGTGGGGAATAAAATATGAATATTCATGAGACAAAATAATTGAGTCAAGCTTGAAAATACCTATCAAGTGATTTTGATGTCGAAAGCCTCATCACAGGAAAAAATTGAAATAAACCATATTAATATAACACTTTCGCGCCCCCTGGGATGGTAATAAAAAAGCGTTATGTGCGCGCGGCGTTTTTGCGAGTAAGCGTAAAAACAAAAACGTGTATACTCTTTTTACTCTCCTGACCTTAGTTCTCGAGCTACTTATTTCATTTTGGTACCAACGTGTTCGCAATAAAATTCACTAGAAGAACATCAGTAAAAAAAGTCACGAAACGTATAGGGATACCAGCACCAAATAAATAACTACGAAGATGACTCGCCGTGAGCGCCCAACAGCAACAAAATGTTTTTACTCTTGGGATTGTTATCACCTCCACACTTGTTTTACAGCGTTAATTTTGGTATCAATGGACTCGCAATGAAATTCCCAACACGGTGATATGAATATAAGCATAGAATAATGATTGTGGCCCACCCGCAAGAGTGTGGGAAGTGGTGAAATTGTTACCCGGTATCGGTGACGGGACGACACATGTGCGATACGGCGCTTTGAAAGTTTATACTTATTTCACTCTCATGACATTATTATTCTATGTACGTCATTCATTTTTGTGTCAATGTGTTTGCAATAGAATGTTCTATGAGCCCGTAGGTAAAAAAGATCAACAAAGCGTAAGATAGAATAGCGCCATATATAAAACAACGCTGGAACATATCAGTGAGCGTCAAACACACACGAAATGTTTTTACTTTTGTTATGTTTGTCAAGTTTATTCTTGTTGCACAAAGTAATTTTTGGTTGTACATTGATCGGAATAAAATTCCCTAAACAGACATATGCTTATAATACATGATATGGGGGAAGCATTACCAGTATAAACGTCTAAAGTCACCCACCTGCAACCCGTTTGGGACACTCATGCAGACACACGCTACACCCAAAAAAAAATCTATGAAGGTTCGAGTCTACTTATGGCAGTTTATGTGATACAGTGTTCATTCTGGTATCAAAATACAAAATACATTACCAGTATAAACGGCTAAAATCACCCATCTGCAACCCGTTTGGGACACTAAAGCAGACACATGCTACACCCAAAAAAAAATCTATGAAGGTTCGAGTCTACTTATGGCAGTTTATGTGATACAGTGTTCATTCTGGTATCAAAATACTCGTTTCAGTTTGTAGTTCATGCGATTTTCAGAATCAACTGAATCACTGGAGGTTCAACATTTGAATCAGAGTCATCTGACAAAACCGTCTCGTCAAATGGCAGTGTGCCAGACATCTCGGGTTCTGATTCAGTTGCTGCTTCAGCTTAAGGTGTTGAAGTGAACAAGGGCCGCCTCACACCAGATGGTCCAGGAGTTTGCATGGCGTCAGCATAGGCAGGACCTGTGTCATCATTTATGTCTGGAGCGTGCCGCAAGTGTTGAGATACTGTTGCTGTTTGAGGCCAATCTTTCGGGTCCCAGCACAATAGGGCCCAATTTCCCACCTCGTGGAACTGTAGCAATGTTAGCTTTTTTTGATCAGTTGTGTTGTATTTGTACAAAACAAAGGCATTATGCAAAGCCATTTGCAGGAAATAAAACGTTATCTTTTAGGTCCACTTGTGAGTTTTCCGGGTAAAATGGTAATACCATTTGATCGAAGTGGTCCACACCTTTCATGAACGTATTGTACTATGCAGCCTAATGGTGAGAAAGAGAGCCTCATGGCGCGCAGTTTGAAACAAACCCAAAGTAAATCGGATTAAAATTGAATTTTATACAAATATTTTAAAAGAGGACATAAATTTATGTCCACCATGCGGGAGCGGGTAGGCGAAACAGGACTCCTCATCCGCAGAAAGTATCCACAGATTTGAAATAGATCACCATTATGACTGATATTAACGAGACAACAGCAAATTTTGAAAATGATAAGACTCTGAGTGAACCCAACCCTACAGGCAAAGCAATGAACCCCAATGAAATATGGGAAGCGGAATCTGTAAAGACTGAACCCAACCTTACTAACCCCAATGAAATATGGGAAATTGAATCTGTAAAGATTATGTTAATAAAACTTGAAGAAATACTACTAAAGTGGGGAATAAAATATGAATTATTCATGAGACAAAATAATGAAGTCAAGCTTGAAAATACCTATCAAGTGATTTTGATGTCGAAAGCCTCATCACAGGAAAAAATTGAAATAAACCATATTAAAGTAGTATTTCAAGATGATGAACTGGTTTTGTTTAATGGGTGTGATGACAACTTATGTAAAGAGAGAAATGATCCATTGTTAAATGAAAGTTACCACCTGAAAAAACACAAATATGTTGTGTGTGTGAGTATACCCTCATCGAATTAACTATCCGTAGTTTTTTTAAATATGAAGAAAAATTACCCACTACTTTGTACATACGAAGTTTTAAAGATGAATGATGCCCATCCAGCCCAGCGTGGGATAATCGGGTGAAGTAACTTTACACACAAAATTTAATGATTATTTCCTCTGCTCCAAATAGATGTTTTCCTCCTCCTTCCCAACTTCAATGGAAGAATCACTTGATATATCAATGAGATAGCTTAAATTTATCATGTCTCCAAAAAGCTATAAATGTCTCCTGTCCCCCCTCTATTTGGAGGGGGTGGGTGCAAGCGTCGTCCTCGTTCACTCCAAACCCACCTTCACATATCTAGACAGTCTTCACAATACCGACATATGACAACTTGTACTGACACTCACCGGAACTAGTGCCAGCCATACTTACATTATCATTTCACTTTTTAATTGTACATCTGTTCCCATTCTGGGCTCACTTTTTATTTAGTGAAAAATTACAGTGAAATTAAAAGGTGGAAAATTTTTAACTAAGAGACCCATAATTTCTCACTAGCTATATATATCTTGTATGTCGATTTTTTATCAACCCCATACAGTCCTGCCCCATTCCCCTACCTATATACACTAGAATAATAAAGGCAAAATTAAAAAAAATAAAGCAATATATGTTTTAATTCATACACACTTTTATTTAGTAAAAATTACAGTGGAATTAAAAATGAAATGAGGCAACCTTCAACTGTTCGAAAGTTTTTTTTAAATCAGCAATCTCCTGCCAGAGGTTTGTATTCTTCTTCAGGTCGGTGATGTTCAGTTTGAGGTTGGTGTTTTTTTTTTTTTTTAGTTCCCTCCTTTAGTCGTCTTGTTTAAAATTCTTATAGACAACCCATACCCACGTCAGTCACTATGTCAGTCACTGTGCGGGAGTTTTGAATAACATTGGCTCTTTGGTGCCATTATAAATTAATATGACTTCCAAGTCGTTGCACATATCAATTCCTCAAAATAAAGGCGGGTTGCTTCAGCCTTCCAACTCTTTAATTTCATTTTTTAAATTATCAATCTCCTGCTTGAGGTCGGTGTTGTTCTGCTTTAGGTAGGTGATTATTTCTAACAACTCTTGCTCTATCATCTTCAATAGTGTGTTGTTCTGCTTGATGTCGGTGATTATTTTGCGGATTAATTGTAACAACTCTTGGTCTGTCTTCAATAATATTGTCTCGATCTGCTTGATGATGTCGGTGTTGTTCTGCTTGAGGTTGGTGTTGTTCAGCTTGATGTCGTGGATTATTTGTTACAACTCTTGCTCTATCTTCAATATTAGTTTCTCCTCTTCCTCTTCCCAGCATACTTTCAAGGTTTTTTTCAGCGTAGCTTGTGTCCTATTCTCCATCCTGGGGTTCATCTGAGGAGAGAGCTTCTCGGACCACTTTTTCTTTGGAAGAGCAGCGAAGCTGGCCATCAGTGGATGTAATATAAGAGTGAGAGTGGTCGGCGGCAACGAATATTTATATATGGCTCAACTGACACAGTACTGCTCCGGGCAACCAGCTATTACATTACTAGGTGGACTTCGCCGCCATGAGTTTGATCACACGGTTTTCAACACTTTATCTAAAATGTCACTTTATGCATGCATACAGCTGCTCTCCCTTCCCCTTCCCCACCTTTAGTCGTCTTGTTTATTCTGACTTCAACCTTCAACTGACATTATCGTTGACTTACGTGAAGCAGTTAGTGTAGCGTGTAGTGGTTGGTGGTGGTGGGTGTGGCCAGCAAACGTTGACCATAGTGGGTATTTATAGAGATTGCTCATCAAATGTGTTGAGTAAGTCGGTGAGGGATCTTACACCAAAATAGGTGTTAGTATTTAGTTTATTACTTATTGATTAAAAATTTTGACTTCAGCCTTCAACGGTCCAAAATTTTTTATTAAATCAGTATTCTTCTGCTTGAGGTTGGTGGTGTTCATCGTTTTTTCTAATAAATATTCTTTTGCTTGAGGTTGATGTTCTGCTTGATGTTCTTTCTGTGACATCAATAAGCATTGTTTCAAGTTTTTTTTCAGCGCAGCTTGTATCTTCTTGTTCGTTTTCTTCTTCTTCTTCTCCTTCACCTTCTCCTTCTTGAGGTTCATCTTGAAGAGAGCTTCTCGTACCACGTTTTCTTTGGATGGAAGAGCAGCGAAGCGTGTGTTGGTTGGCCGTCAGTGGATGTAAATGTGAGAGTAGCCTGCGACTACTGATATTTATATAATTCAGCTGACACTGCTGCCATCTACTCTGGGCAACCAGCTGTCTCCTCCACTCTTTGAGCAACTTTTTGTAATTTTTACTGCCCTAATTTTTTTATTATTTTTTTTAGTAAATTTTGATAGCAGGATGATCTATTAATTAAAAGTGGTGAGACCACAAAAAAGTTAATGCTTGCTCTACTTGGTGGAGGTTTCCAGGTAAGCAATCAAGTCTGCACGCTCATTCTTCTTTTTAAGACCAACAAACACCATCTTTGTGCCTGGAATAAACTTCTTTGGGTTGGTCAAGTAGATATCCAGAATATCTTTGAACCATGTGATACTCTTGGCCTTGTTGGCATAAGTGTAAATACAGCCAGAAGCCTGACCAGTCTGGCGGCCGAAGAGGCCATTGACATTGGGTCCAGTTTTGTGCTTGCCGTTTAATTCAACAGTGTGACACTGTGCACACCTCTGCATAAAGATCTTCTTGCCTTTTTCCCTCTCACCCATCATCTGAAAAAAAAACATTAACTTAAAAGGTTAAGGTGTATGCTATTTATTTATTTTTTTTTTTTTTTTCGTATCCTGGCCGGGGAGGATTTACTGGGCGCAATTCCTTAACTGTAGCCTCTGTTTAACGCAACAGTAAAATGTGTACTTGGATGAAAAAACGATTCTTCGCGGCAGGGGATCGTATTCCAGGGACCATAGGATTAGCTGAACATCATTATACTTTCAAAACATCAATTTCAAATCATAAATTTCAAATTATTAGTGATTACAACTGTAATTATATCAAATTTTCCCAAACCAACGAAAAGAGAGAAAGAGAACCCTGGCCAAATATAACCAGGTCATCTCTGGTGGTGGCGTACCAGCACTCCACAGAGGTTAACAGCGAAATAAAGGTATTATAAATCTCAGTGTCATTATATTGGATGGAGCTGGTGGTAACCAACAATCCAACCTTCATTATGGTCATATGTTTCATACACTTACTTACAAAAGGACACTATTTTTTCTTTGTTTTAGGATTCGGATTTACTCTGCGAGCACACTGCACAACCTTGAGTCAAAACACGCTCACAGATGGACTAAAAACTACTGTAGATACAGATTTAGATAATGTATCTAACCAACTACAACTTCAACCAAACACAGTTTCAAATGAGAAAACATAAGAAATAAATAATTACACCCTCCTCCTCCTCATCAGCATCATCATTATCCAAAAAAAAACAAAAAAAATATATATATAAAATGAATAAAAATATGATATGGAAATGTGGTAAGGATGACATTTTAACTTTTTCGGACCAGAGTTTTTACATCTACATATTTTCCTTGAGAAATTGATGCCCTCTGATTGAAACCCAAACAGAGGTACAAATAATACATACATATACATTTATTTTCAAAAAAGCATTTTTTTTAATTGTTTTATTTAATGAATGTTGGTCTCAGGATTGGTTCACCCCTCTTTCAATGACAAAGTTGGTTAAAGAATAATAAGTATTTTCTATTTGATGGATCATTAGAATTTTTTGAGGCTAGTTTTAATAAATATGGCTGTAAACTCTTAAAAACCAGTTTCATCTCTGGAAGTGTTTCATTAAAGTTAAGGTATAGGGTAACAGGTGTCACATATTCGTCAAAAATCCAACTGTTTTCCATAATATATCTTTCTATATACAAATCAGTGACTGCCATTTGCTCCACTCCATATATAAAACTTGTTGCGGCTTCTAAAAACAGCGTCAGTTTGATTACCCCAAGATAAGATTTGGGCATACTTACGAGAAAATTCCCTAATGCTACATTTTAGATGATGCATATTCAACACAAACACACTTTTTACTATTTGCTTACAAAGTGGACACAATATTTCATCTTTGTAGATAATATTTAATAAAAAAGAGTACATCCCATAAGAATTATTCATATATCTAAGGCAGCCATAATTATTATAATCAAATTTCCCTGTAGATTTTTTACCCAACAAAATTTTGGCGGATAATGTAAACATACATTGAGTACAAATACTGTGACCACATCCAACCATAAAATCATCAAACATAAAAACCATGTCACCTGACCCATTCATATCTAAACAAATGGGGCAAGATACAATTTGATGACGAATGACATTTTTCTTGATAGTTTTAAGGGAACCGTGTTTAATTTATATATCAATGACAACGTCCTTATTATCAGGTCCCCAGAGTCAGTTGGACACCAGGTTTGTTTGATATTTTTTCAAAAATGGTATTTTAACCAGGACTGTAGAATAATTCTTAGTTTCAAAACACTCGTCTTGTCTAAAATCATGTTCATTTTCAAACAGATTTATATCAGTATCAATTGATCTGATATTTGGTGAACAATTAAATATAATAGTTAACGATGCCTTTTCTGCTTGTAATAATTTCTATGATGTTTCTCACTTTGATATTCTGCTGTAATCTTGACCTTGTAGGAGAAATCTTGCAAGTCAAAAAAAGTTGGCAACCTCTTGAGTTTTTTGAATTTGATATTTTGTATATATATTTTTTTAAATGTCTTCTCTTTTGACATTTCCCCAGGGATAATTCCATATTAAGCCTAGAAGAAATATGAAAGATAACATTAATATTAATTAAAAAAAGGAAGAAATGGAGTTGTAAGGAAGTGGAAAAAAGCTCTTTATTCCATAGTTAACTATGGAATATATAGTAATAGAAGGGTAGAGAAAAAATTTCTTCAATTAGTAACTGTGGTCTCTCTCACCTCAATCAGTTCATAAAGTTTTAGGGAACATATCTAAACCCACTGACTGGTTCATTCTGTTGTCAGGATTAAATCATCACACAACAACAATTGACCAGGGAGGGTGGAGGAGGTCTTATTTATGTTAATGACACTGTCCTGTTTTTTTTTTTTTTGTCATAAAGGGGGGGACCTATGAAAAAAATATATATATAAATTAGGAGGTTTAACTGTTCTTTTCATTGTTATGATGTCTTTGACATAATTTTGTTTACAATTTTAACTCTGACACCAAAGGGGTAGACCTGTCTAGAAAAATTTACAATTGCTGGCAAGTAGTCTCTTTCCCAGTTTCCACCAGCCAATCCACACCCAATTAACGATGGAAAAATTACCAAACTGTATTTTCCATTAGATACTTGCACTGCTAATTTATTTAGACCTTCATTAAACCAATAAATCCTGTTTTGGGATGTATCTTTTAAAAGGCCAGATAAAAGTTGATGATCGAAAGGTTCTAAATGTCTAGGATTTCTTCCTTTAGGTCCAGCATCAACAATACACGACTGTAACTGCTGTATAAGTCTTTTAGTATAATGGTTTTGATTTTTCTCCTTCCCCATATAAAACTGCCCAAAAACATTTACAACTACTGGTCCCTTTGTTACAGTGTTAGGATGACAAATCTCAATATTTCCTGGTTGAGGTCTATCTTCAAGCATAGCACGGTTTAGAGTGCCTATTGCCCGGCGTAGTGTATAAGAACCACATTATGGATATATCTCAGCAAGAATTTGAGAAAGTCCATGAGATTTAACAGCTACACAGTTGAGTATTTGTACAAGCGCTATATTTGGGCTTCTATATACAGGGTCAGTAATGTCTCCATTAATAAACTCCAAGCTATATACAAAGAAGAAAGAAACATTGGTTATACCATTACAGTCCATAATTATCTTCTAATATAATAATGCATTAAATATTAGTTGTCCTGTCCTGTCCTAGTCATAAAAGACAATTAACATACTACAAAAATTAATGTATTCCATATTTTTTTATTTATTTAATTAACAAATATCTTTACAATCTTTTGCTCTCCTTTTTTTTTAAATGATTTATCAAGTAATTTAAAGAATATGTTCGAAATTTCATGTGGCACAGTAGAACTATTTAGTTGCCAAAGAATATATTTTTAAGAGATTAGGATGTGTTTGATTACCTTTCTTGATAAATTCCTCCATTTCAGTCCAATAGTTTGTGAATTACTTCAAATATTTTCAGTTGTATTTGTCATGATCGTGTTTGTATTATAATATATGAAAAACAAAAACTGTTGTATAATATATAGTTATGATATAGTTTAATATATATACGTTTTTCTTTTTTTATACCTTCTATCAAAATTTCATAAGACTTATAAGAGTTGGGTTTAGTATCTGTTTTCAAGTTGGGATTATATCATAAATAATTAAACAATGAAAGTCATTAAGGGGAAAAACAAATTGACTAATCCTGATGAATGTGAAACACTAAATATTAGAATATCTAATCATATTCGTTTTACATTTAATACCAACAAACGTTATTTAGGGAAAGGTGCCTATGGTAAAGTTGATCTTGTTCAAGTACCTATTATTGAACTTCTTGATCCTAGATTACTGCATCAAATACATGTGTTTCAAAATATTTACCCACACACGGCTTCCAAACTTTTTAAATCTTCTAAGAAGAAGCACAAACGAGGAAAAAAATATCTACAAACATTTGTGGCTCGAAAGAATTTTCGCCGGAAAAGGGATTTTTTAATGGAGATTGAAAACATTGCACGTCTTGATGATAATATCCGAAAAGCATTCTTTGTTCAAGTGTGTCGTGTGTTTATGGTCGAAACTGCCTATAATGTAATACACTGTCCACAAGGTAAATTTCTAGAGTCATCAAAACCTACTAAAGTTCCTTATTCTTTGTATAATATTGAGTATAAATGTCCTTTCAAATCTAAATCTATAGGCTACTTTATCGAAATGGAATACTTCAACCAACGCGATTGGATCCTACTAAGGAAAAAAGTCGACTTATTGAAAAATGATCACTATTGTCATCAACAATTGCTTACTACAGTTCTTAGACAGCTTATTGATGTTCAATTAGTCTTATACAATACTACTGACAAATATATATCAGGTACTTATTATGATATTAATCCTCAAAATGTATTTGTATCCAATGATAACATTCATCGAATTAAATTAATTGATTACGGAGGCCTTTTTCTTCCTTCTTAAAATATATATTCTATAATCACAGAACCGATGCCGGTATTTCATTCCGAAAATATCTGTGATGTTCTTTCTAAACAAATATCTAAATCAAAACTCAATTATAAAAGATATGTTCAATATCTTTCTAACTGATATTTTACATGTTTGAACAAACTAGATAAATACAGCGTCATTCCTACTATGTATGGTATCATTGTAGCCGTGACAATGTGTGTGATGTTAATGTGGGGTTGTGAAAGACGAGATAAAGTACGCCACATTTTAAGAAAAATTATTCACTCATATAATCCAACATTGATTTTGAATGATGTCTATAAAAGTCAAGAGATACAAAAAAATATTATAGAATTGCTTAAAACCTCAAACATCGTTGAAAACCTAACCCTTTAGAGAAAAAATGAATGCCAATTTTGATTTCGATAATATGGAATTAGATAATCTTGATACTTTGATGGAACCTCTCTTAATGGCGTCAACTGGAAAAAA